TCGTAAGGGAGAAGCACCTCCAAGAAAATTCAGAGTCTGGTAGTCAAGAAAAAGGTGATGGCCACGATCTTTTGGGATTGTGAAGGAATTCGATTGTCAATGTTACACTGTCACTCTCAAACTTTTATTATTTGTATTGTACGTTTTAAAAGCTATTTTTAGACTATATTTGAAAAGTTGGACCCTTTTTCACTGGAACTTCCCAAAATGTGTTAAAATATTATATTTAGACGGTATTCTTTGACTATTGGAAGAATTATTTTTAAACAATTGAGATATTGATTTTTCTTTCTAATTTGCATACGAGATTTGCCATTTTTAAAAATTATTTATTTGTAAGATCTGCATAGTTTAACGGCATGTAGTTTAAAACTGTTCGCAGTACGATTCATAGATATAGTGAAAAGTTGATAATTTATGTGAATATGAATGGCAAGACGAATTTGAAATGGTGTTAACAACAAGGAAGGTTTATGAAAAATTTAATATACAAGATATTAATAACTATTAAGAGAACTAAATAATTGTCTATAATACCAGTAAAACCAGTTAAAATGTCATCCACGTATAATATTTTTTTCTTCTTTAGGGCCAAAAATGTATAAACATCAATTATTTAAATAATTTCTACACTTTGTACAGAGCAGCACTCTACTCATATGCATTATGTAGTAAAAATCTTGTTTTCTAAAAACGCCATTGGAATTGAGGTACCCTTTACGATAAACCTAATCTTAATACAAGCCCTTTTGATATAATTCCCTTTGAAAATAATGTTCGACAAAATATTACCGAAAATAAAACACAGTGTAGGTGGGGCTTTTGATTTTCTTTTTTGTCGCTTAAATTTTACTTACGGTTAATTCGTTATTTTTTGCTCGATGTGCCTATATACAGCAACAAACGTCGAAAGCTGGAGATTGCTGAGAAATGGTTTTGGTAGCGGTGGGGCGGCTTTGACATATTTCGGAACCGCTCGTTTGAAACGCAATGTTTTTATTTTTCTAACGGTAAGGTACAAAAGTTTGCTTGACCGGAAATTTTATTTCGGCCCCAGCGCTCTGATAAAAAGGCGACCAACGAGGGTACTTCATTCGAAGCGAAGAACACAATTTATTCTATTTTTAAACAAAATTCAAAGATACAGTTTTTTTTTAAATAATATATACGCAAGAGAGAATAGTCTCATCACCCAGTCTAATTTGAAAAACTTTAGGAAAACGGCAGCAAGTACAGTTTTCAGTTTTTTTCTCATTAAAAAAATGGTTTCTGAAACTCTTTCTATTTTGAATTTAGTCAATTGGGCCTAAATACGAAGTTTAAATTTGGTTTTAAAAGCTAATACCATGTTATGAGTTTATTTTTTTTACACGTAATCTTTCCGTTCTATTTTCCTTACTTCCAAATTAGCTAACACGGCAGACTTCGTACTGCCTCAATCGATAAATAAAAGATCTAAACTTTTGTATAAAATAATCTTAAAACAAACAAAACGAATACGCATTTAATAAAAAAGCATTTTTTGAATGAAGCATGAAGTTTTATTATTATTTTCCACACATCATTTTGCTTACTTACAAAACAGGGTTTTCCTGAAATACTGGCCATTTATAAGGTATAAACTTGATATTGACAGACACACATTGTTATGATACAGTCTGTTAATCAATTTAAAGCTTTCTCATATACTATATTTTTTGTTTTGTTTTGTGGTGCGTAAAGAAACAAAGAAGACGATTTATTAATGGTCATCGCAAAGGCCAGACGTACTCGAAAAGTAAGCGTTTAAAATCGAATGGTAAATCCGTTGGAATCATCGGTATCCGCGGAATCGAGATATCCTCTCCTTTATATTTTCCGTTTATGATTGTTGCCTCAATGACGTTATTCATCAGCTTTTCCACAGCCAGTCTTTGCAGAGTCGAGGTTGATTAATGTTAGGCAGCGTGACGGCAACTGATCCTACTTTTAACTGCAAATTGTGAGTTGGTAATCCTGACAATTCCAGTGAATTTAAAAACTCCGTGGGATAGATGACTACGTCATCCTGGTTCATAACGCTGTCGACCGATTTGAAGGAAACCAACTGTCCTGGAAGAAAATTCTGAATGGCCGCAGCCAATTATGGTTGTTGAACTTTTGCGCTATATATGGGAAACACACTGAATAACCTCCTCTTTCGAGTTTCTGATGTGACAGAAATCTGTGGGTAATGTGATGGATCTGGTCGCGGTGTCCACTGCAACTTTATTATTTCCATTGTCTGACAACTGCTTCGCAAACACATTTGCACTTTTATCTTGTTGCAAAAACACTCGCGTGTTAGTTGTTAATAATTAATAAAATAAATCGGGGAATAACTGGAAGTGTCTGACGAAAATCACCTGATAACAGAAACATGGACCCACCAAAAATATTTTGGTCATCACGAAGATATTTCAACGTTCTGTCCAGTGCCTCCAGTGTCCTCTTACGGGCCTTTGTGCATTCATCCCAAACAAGCAATTTGCATAACTGTAGGATCTTAGCCATTGCGCTGTTTTTGCGATGTTGCAGATTGGTGTTTCGGTAAAGTGCTTGTTTAATGGTAATTTCACGGCAGAATGTGAAGTTCGCCCGCCTTCTAGGAGAGTCCAGATGAAGCCAACGTTACAGCAACATCATTTCGCGATCTGATTCTCGCCAAAAGCAATGGTCCGGTTCCTCCGGGAGCATCAAGCAAATAAATTCCAACGGATCCACTGTTCACAGGTTCTATCAAAAGGTTGTACGCAATTCTTTGTTGTTGATTTAATTGTGGAACATTTGTATGAACTGTTTCGCCAATGCCAAGAACCATTTTGCTAATTTTATTTAACATAATAAAATACACATTTTAAGACACCTAATACAATAAAACTACTCAATTTATGAAAGAAGCTTCCACAGGCTACTTACTGTAATATTTTTAACAAAACTTCTGGATTCCTCCTGCGTCAGTTTTTGTTCAGTAGAGCTTGACTGTATAGTAACGGATGATTACATATAGTTTTGACTACTACAATAATGCAAACTTGTTGAAATACACTTTTAAAGCTTTATACGCACTGAATATAACAAACTAGTATGTCGTATTTCTCAAAGTCTTTGACTTTTCTATTAACATTTGTAATGCAAATTACAAAAAACAAACCTCAAAATTTTCTAAATATGACAAGACTGTATCATTTTGTTTTTGAAATAACCTGCCACGACCAACTAAAAAGAAAGATTTTTTTAAAGTTAAATATTGGGCTCAATATTTTTAAAACAACCATAGAGTTTCACGTATTTTTCAGATTATCTCAAAACATTTCGAATTGGATTTAGAAAACATATAAATATGCCACGAAATTCTGCATAAAAAGTCATAAACGCACTCATCACTTTTCAAATAAGCTTTCGAGTAACCAAGATAAGAGCAGCGTCGCAATGCAAATCTATCCCCGTATCCCGAAAAACAACAGAAGATTCTGTCTAGGGTGTATTTTAATTCGCGAAACAGTAGCACGTCAAAACGTTCATTACTCGAATTAAAATTAGTCAGTTACAGTTTATAATATTGTTTATTTTTCTCGTCATAGCTTTACAAAAAGTGATTGTCATATCATAAGGATAACTACATAAATAACAAATCCACCTGAAAATCTTCCAAGTATCAATCACGCTGCTCGTCTTCCTTTGAAACTTTATCATCGCAGTCGCCCAAACAAGGCACCGTCCGAACTTCTATTTCCGAGTCAAACCATTTTAGGACTATAGAGCTGTATCTCCAAGTACTCATCGTAGACATTTTGGATCCAGTTACGCCGCAACACAGACTTGCGAAGGTCTTTCTCGACGGCAGATTTCCTCTCTTCCTCCCTTAAACGTTTCTTCAGCTTTTTCAGCTTCTGTTCTTCGTCGCAATCATCGGTAGCCTTGCGCTTCAAGCCCGACATCATGGTTGTCTCTCCTCGATACGTGACGTTCAGGTGATTGTGCAAGTGCCTCTTTTTGATCAGGTGACGTCTTTTGGTCGTGGTGATCAACACAGGACATCCCGCGGATGCGCAAGCCCAAATCAAATGGCCGTTACCCATGGCGCACTTGGTGTTGTACCGAAAACCGTCAATTTCTAAAGTTGACATTGTCATGGCTAACTGCGATTGTGATTGACACGAAATTTGTATCGCCGAGTGGTATTTATACACCGCTACCGAAGTAAATTAGGGGTGGGTCGTTAAGCTAATCGCATAACTGCAAGCAGGTATCGGGGTCGCAAATTTGATATTAACGTGAGGGGCCATAAATCTCATGATTTAATGTTATTATAGTAATTGTATGTTGATTGCATTTAGCGAAAATAAAATTTTAAGTTTATGATCGGATAAATAGCGATTTGAGCATGGTTTCGTTTTTATACGTTGCTTTGCATATGGTTAAATAGATAGACAGATAATTTATTCACAATTATTTTGTATACTGACGTTTATAATAATAATAATAATAATAATAATAATAATAATAATAATAATAATAAACAGGGCGAGCCGGCATGGAAGAAACGATTAAGCCAACTTATTGACACACTTAGGACAGACATCGGAAGGCTAACGAGCTTCCAGAAAAAATCCCACAACACACCTAAGTTACTTAAGCAAGTTCAAAATATTAGGGAAAAGTACGGACGCCACGGAGAAGTTCCTAACCTTAACGACCAACAAATCATGGACACTATGAAGCAGAAGCTTTCAGTTTACTCAGCCCGATTGGCAAGATATAATAAAAGCTATAAACGGAAAACCCAAAATCATCTATTTAATGTAAGTGAAAAAGCCTTTTACCGTAGCTTAGATAAAAAGAAACACGAGTGTAATGAAGACCTCAAAATAACACCCCAAGAATTAGAAAATTTCTGGGCCCCAATATACACAAACAAGGATGAACATAACCAACAAGCAACGTGGCTATCTGAAATCTCTTCTACAATCGCAAATCCAATGGAATACTCCAGGATAACAGAAACAGACGTTAGAGCAGCAATATCTAGGACAGCCAACTGGAAAGCTGCAGGTCCAGACAAAATACAAAACTTTTGGTGGAAACGACTGTGGGTCACACATGCGTACCTAGCCGAGCATTTCTCCAAAATAGTGTCTGATCCAGAGTTACTACCGTCATTCTTTACAACAGCCATAACTCATCTTATCCCTAAGGACACAACGAAAATCAATGATCCATCCAAGTACAGACCAATAGCATGCCTCCCCACTATATACAAAATACTCACGGCATGCATCTCTAACAAAATCTACAACCACCTAGACAGGAATAGTTTGATCGCTGAAGAACAGAAAGGGTGCATTAGAAAAGCGTATGGCTGTAAAGAACAACTAGTCATCGACTCAGTCATATCAAACCAGGCAATAAAAAGCAATAGAAATATTCATATGGCTTACATCGACTATCAAAAAGCATTTGACTCTGTGCCACATTCCTGGTTGAAATATGTACTGAAACTCTATGGTATCCACCCCCAAATACGGACGTTTCTTGGTCTTTGCATGAAAAAGTGGAATACTGACCTAACACTCCACCATCAAGGGAAGTCGCTGATTGTACCGAGGATGAGGATTAAAAAAGGAATTTTCCAGGGCGACAGTCTGAGCGCTTTATGGTTCGTCATGTCAATAAATCCTCTCAGCCTGCTTCTGAATAACAGCCGATACGGCTTCGAATTAAAGACTCCTAATAGATCCCATAGGTTAAGCCACTTGCTCTATATGGATGATCTCAAACTATACGCATCTTCAAAACAACAACTATCAAGTATGATCCGGATAGTGGAAATGTTTAGCACGGATATCCGAATGAAGTTTGGTTTGGATAAATGTAGAACTATCCATATAAACAAGGGAAAGTTTTCTAACGTGGTGAACATACAAGAATCAGAGATTCAAAACATGCAAGAGACGGATCTTTACAAGTATCTTGGAATTGAGCAGGCGCGAAATATTGATCATGTTGGCACTCGAGAAAAACTCGAGAAGATAGTGTACGAAAGAACGCGCAAAATAGCCAACAGTTGTATAAATGGTCGAAATATGAGCAAGGCACTTAATACCTTTGTTATTCCAGTACTGACCTACTCTTTCGGCATTATAAAATGGTCAAAAACCAGCATCAAGCTAATAGAAAGCAAAATGCGTTCAATATATAAAAAACACGGTCACCTCCATCCCAACTCGTGCCGTGAGAGATGGACTCTTCCAAGAAGTGAAGGGGGAAGAGGAGTAATACACCTACTCAATATGCACAATAAACAAGTGAACAAGCTACGAGAGTATTTCTACAATAAAGATGCTGCACTACATAAAACCGTAATAGAGGCAGATAAAAAATACACTCCATTAAACATGGCAGATAGAAACGCAGTATTTCAAATTGAAATAAACGATGAGATCCTGCATCAATGGGCTCAGAAGGCGGTCCACGGCGGGCATTTTTCCGACCTGCATCAGGAAGATGTTGACATTAAAGCGTCAAACAAATGGCTGAGCAACGGAGACTTGTACGCCGAGACCGAAGGCTACCTGCTGGCTATTCAGGATAGAGTACTACCAACAAGAAATTATAAAAAATATATCCTTAATACCCCTCACACAGAAGATAAGTGCAGAAGATGTGGCCAAAATGGAGAAACTATTGAACACATACTAAACGGTTGTTCAACTTTAGCACCCACAGAATACACAATAAGGCACGATAATGTAGCAAAAATAGTTCACCAAAACCTTGCAGTTAAACATCACCTTCTTGAACAAAAGTGTCCTTACTTTAAATATTCACCTGAAGCTGTTCTGGAGTCAAATACCCATAAACTGATGTGGAACAGATCTATCATAACAGACAAAGCAATTCAACATAATAGGCCAGATATAATACTCACTATTAAAAATGAAATGATAACCTACTTAATCGATATCGCAGTACCTTGGAACAGAAATCTTTCAAATACTTACAACCGTAAAATACAAAAATACTCTGAGCTTGCTAGCGAGATCAAAAGAGTTTGGCGCCAAAGGGAGGTTCATACAATACCAGTGGTCCTATCTTCTACAGGCCTAATACCCAAAAAACTTCATAAGTCACTTCAGTCTCTCGGCCTTCAACAATATCTCTATATGGAACTACAAAAAGCCAGCATACTACAGACTTGCCACCTGGTCAGAAATTTCTTACAGTAGGAAGAGTATTTGTCTTAGACCGTACCTTCTTATTAAAAATAAAAACCGACAACGTCGAGCTAAAGAATAAAAAAAAAATAACAATAATAATAATAACAATAGTAATAATAAAGGTCTTTATTTCAAATAATCAATAAGATAATAATAAACAAAAAACTAATCAGTTTAGAAAAGGGAAAACCTAAAAACTTAGGATCATACAAAATGTAATCTTTAATCTTACAGAAAGGAACAATAAGCGTTAGGCAATATCGTTTATTTGAACGTATACCTATTTTTATCTATAATTAACTCGGGAACACTGTTTTTGAAAAAGTGGTTTATTAGATTTTGATGAAGTTATTTTATTAACTTGGTAAAACATTAAGAAAATGAGCGTTTGTAAAGGTCAGTTGAGTAGAGTGGTGTGAGTGTACCGTTATACCTAATATTGATAGCTTCACTTCTAAATTTTATTTTTTTATATAAGTAAGGACGAGATTTATTCACTAAAATTAGCAAACTTTGCATATTTAGCCATCTCACCATTTGGAGAGTGCGTGTGACTTAAAGTACGTTATTTAATTTAAAACCGATATATTAGAGTTGTTTTGAATCTGTAGAGTTAATTACTTTTTCAAAGATTTTAGAGAATGTTAGGAGAATAGTGATAGGTTTAATATTATTAAAATTCCTTGGATTTGGTATTTTAGGCTGGATAAAAACTTCTTATTCTAAATAGAGAAGGTATTTTTTTATTCCATTTTTGGACTGCCCTTAAAATTGTAAGTTTTATTGATAATTTCCTTTTTTTATAATTCCTGCGAAAATGGTTTAATTTGGCTACAGTGACATGAAAAATACTTACAATTTTATGACCAGTCCAAAAATGAAAAAAACATACCTTCTCTAGTTAGAATAAGAAGTTTGGATTCAGGTTAAAATACCAAATCCAAGGAATTTTAATAATATTAAACCTATCAATATTCTCAAAACATTCTCTAAAATCTTTGAAAAAGTAATAAACTCTACAGATTCAAAACTATTTGTATAACAACTCTAATATATCGGTTTTAAATTAAATAACAGACTTTAAGTCACACGTACTCTCCAAATGGTGAGATGGCGTAATATGCAAAGTTTGCTAATTTTAGGGAATAAATCTCGTCCTTCATTATACACAAAAATAAAATTTAGAAGTGATGCTATCAATATTAGGTATAACGGTACACTCACACCACTCTACTCAATTGACCTTTACAAATGGTCATTTTCTTAATGTTTTACCAAGTTAATAAACTATAACAACTTCATCAAAATCTAATAAACCACTTTTTCTATATCTTTTTCAAAAACAGTGTTCCCTAGTTAATTATAGATAAAAATAGGTATACGTTGAAATAAACGATATTGTCTAACGGTTATTGTTCCTTTCTGTAAGATTAAAGATTACATCGTGTATGACACTTTTTTATAATTGTCACACCTGCATTTCTGAGGTCCTAAGTTTTTAGGTTTGCCCTTTTCTAAACTGATTAGTTTTTTGTTTATTATTATCTTGTTGATTATTTGAAATAAAGACCTTTATTATTATTATTGTTATTGTTATTATTATTATTATTATAAACGTCAGTATTCAAAATAATTGTGAATAAATTATCTGCCTATCTATGTAACCATATGCAAAGCAACGTATAAAAACGAAACCATGCTCAAATCGCTATTAATCCGATCATAAACTTATAATTTTATTTTCGCTAAAGGCAATCAACATACAATTACTATAATGACATTAAATCATGAGATTTATCGCCCCTCAGGTTAATATCAAATTTGCGACCCCGATACCTGCTTACCGTCATGCTATCAGCTTAACGACCCACCCTAATTTACCTCCGTAACGGTGTATAAATACCACTCGGCGATACAAATTTCGTGTCAATCACAATCGCAGTTAGCCGTGACAATGTCAACTTTAACAATTGACGGTTTTCGGTATAACACCAAGTGCGCCATGGGTAACGGCCATTTGAATTGGGCTTGCGCATCCGCGGGATGTCCTGTATTGATCACCACGACCAAAAGACGTCAACTGATCAAAAAGAGGCACTTGCACAATCACCTGAACGTCACGTACCGAGGAGAGACAACCATGATGTCGGGCTTGAAGCGCAAGGCTACCGATGATTGCGACGAAGAACAGAAGCTGAAAAAGCTGAAGAAACGTTTAAGGGAGGAAGAGAGGAAATCTGCCGTCGAGAAGGACCTTCGCAAGTCTGTGTTGCGGCGTAACTGGATCCAAAATGTCTACGATGAGTACTTGGAGATACAGCTGTATAGTCCTAAAATTGTTTGACTCGGAAATAGAAGTTCGGACGGTGCCTTGTTTGGGCGACTGCGATGAGAATGTTTCAAAGGAAGACGAGCAGCGTGATTGATACGTGGAAGATTTTCGGTTGAATTTGTTATTTATGAAGTTGTTCTTATGTTATGACAATCACTTTTTGTAAAGCTATGACGAGAAAAATAAACAATATTATAAACTGTAACTGACTAATTTTAATTCGAGTAATGAAAGTCTTGACGTACTTCTTTTGTTTTTCGGGATACGGGGATAGCTTTGCATTGCGACACTGCTCTTATCTTGGTTACTCTAAAGCTTATTTGAAAAGTGATGAGTGGGTTTATGGCTTTTTATGCAGAATTTAGTGCCATATTTATATGTTTTCTAACTCCAGTTCGAAATGTTTTGAGATAATCTAAAAAATACGTAAAACTATGGTTGTTTTAAAAATATTGAGCCCAATATTTAACTTTAAAAAAATCTTTCTTTTTAGTTGATCGTGGGAGGTTATTTCAAAAACAAAATGATACAGTCTTGTCATATTTAGAAAATTTTGAGGTTTGTTTTTTTGAAAAGTCAAAGACTTTGAGAAATACGACATGTTAGTTTGTTATATTCAGTGCGTATAAAGCTTTAAAAGTTGTATTTCAACAAGTTTGCATTATTGTAGTAATCAAAACTATATGTAATCATCCGTAACTTATTGGTATACAGTCAAGCTCTACTGAACAAAAATTGACGAAGGAGGAATGCAGAAGTTTTGTTAAGAATATTACAGTAAGTAGCCTGTGGAAGTTTCTTTCATAAATTGACTAGTTTTTTATATTAGGTGTCTTAAAATGTGTATTATTTTTGTGTCAAATAAAATTATCAAAATGGTTCTGTTTTAAATTAAATAGAAGTTTTTTTTTATTACCTGTCAAACCATAGAGTTTTATTTATTTTTGGGATGCTCTTGACGAACCCAATCATATACAGGGTGAACGATCTAAAAAATAATAATAATATAAAGATCGTAAGTTTTGCTGTGATTGCTAAGTAACTAAAAAGTTAACGTTATAAATGATCGGTACATAGCTGAAAACTTCATTATAGAATCGCAAACAATGAAAATGGGGTAGGGACGCTTCCGTTAACAAACCCCTCAAAAATCAGGAAGCTTTTATTTGCGCTCCTTGAAATTGCAAGGCAGCCGAGTAAAATTTGAAATCGTGTAAAATAAAACGAGCGGCGACTGTGATTGCGTTACCCGACCTTTTTTTTGTCGTCAAAACCGCCGCCAAGAACGAGTAATTAAAACTGCAAAATAAATGGCGCAATATGGGACGAAAAAGAATAAAAAGACAAAAGCCGTTATTAATCACAGTGGCAATTATTCCGAAGAGGGGGGACCGTATTTTTCGACGGATTTTTTCCAAAGTAATTAAATTAAACCAAATCCGGCTCTTCAGAGGACGCGGAGTAAATACTTCGCAAACAAATATTCGGGATATGATCGTGATTGATACGCGGCCTTTAGAGATAAATTAAAAATTTCCAGTGACACGCGGGACGTTCGATTTCGCTTGCAGTTTGCGGGTTGAAAATACGTGATTTTGCATAAATTTAGTGGCCGTCGGCCATTCGGAATACGCAACGAAACGAGTGTATTCGTTTGGTGGACAGGAAGTCAAATTTTAAAACAGAAAATTAAAATCGACGATAGAGAAATATTCATAATCTCATTGGTTTCAAAAGTTATGAGAAAATAGTTAAAATAGAAAAGTTGTAAATATTGTCCGGATGCGACATTTAAAATTATTGTACAGGATACAGACGGCTCAAAAATCGTGACGAGTAATAAATGAAACGCCATGTTTTTAAATTTTGTTTTGAATTCGTTTTGAAATCTTTCAACTTTTTTATTGACAATAATAAATATCTAAACCTAATAGTTTTTTTCAATATTTTACGTTTTCTAAAAAATAATATTTTCAAACATGCAAAAAAATTATTTTTTAAGGTAGATCACTCATATTTTTATTAGCGTTATATCCAGGGTGTTCAAAATAAACGAATATATTTGGATGATTTTAAGTTGATGAATCTCGATTTTCTTACATAGAGCACCATATACAGGGTGTCTCTCGACATAGCTGCCAAAGCTTGGGAGTGTAAAAATGTCAAATGAACATATGCTCGGAACGCTATTCTAATTGGGCTACAAGCATTTCAAATTTTGAACCCCATTTAAAGAAACCGCTCCATCTTTTGTTTATTAATATTTTATTTCCATAATTCTATCTACCAGTTGTTCTCTGTTTTCAATCTTCTTCTTCCCCTTAAAAAGTAATCTAGTTAAAGAACTGCTCAACCTCTTCCAATCCACCGGTTTGTATAATTTTTATTAAGAAATTCTGTTACTTGTCGACCAGAGTGCGATATTGTGCTGAATCCACATTAGATGTCTTACATTAAGAGGAGTATCATCTAGTAATATTTAGAGATCATTTTCAATGAAACGTTCTTCAATTGTAGACGGACCAATGAGGTGGCCATCAATAATGCTACACCAAATAATCACCGTTCCTGGTGTTATTGATACCGTTCCGGATAAATGAAGCTTCAACACTAATTCAAATCTTTAAGCGTAATCGGCCGGTTTTAAAGCTTATACACGTTTTCCATACTCTCATCCGGCGTACTTCAAGTGTAGTACCTATTCATCAGCCACTAGTATAAGGTTACACATCAGTCTTATTAAGTATTGCCTCTTCTTGAGCCAGTTTTTCCAACATCGATGGACAGTTTTACAAGACACTCAACCAGTGGGAAATCGTCGAAAAAATTCACCAACTGCCGCTCGTCCTTTTCCATTACACCATCCATAAACAAACTAAAACATTCCACCTTGAAGAGTCTTTTAATGTAACACTCGAAAATAAGCACGCAAAATTAATGTAATGGATGTTTACTGTTAGAATACATAAGATTCAAAGCCACCTGGACTTTTTAATAATAATCTTAACTTCCGAACATAATACTGGAACAACTTCTGGTTAATTTGAGAGCAACATACTCTCAAGCTATGGCAGTCGTGTGGTAAGTCACCATGTATATATATATATATATATATATATATATATATATATATATATATATATATATATATATATATATATATATATATATATATATTTAAATCCTGCTATTCATTTTCATTTTTCCAATAATTACCCTTCTTTCTGTCTACGACCACTATGACATATTAGTTGGCAATGAAAAAACTATTAGCCAACACGGCTCTATTAAGATCAAAAAATTAATGTAAGAAAGAACTTTGTTGGAGACGTAGATAAAGCAAGCGACAATTTTAGTGAAAATGACGGCCAACTTTTAAATTCACAGAAAAAGTAAATATTATGAAATATCTACAAATTAACTTATCTTATTTTTAATTAAAGTAAAAGCTGGCCAAAAGGACACCTGACTAAAGTCGCCGCCTAAGACAACGGACAGTATCAAAATTCCCCGAATTAATTATAAGGAAATTTCCTATATTAAAACCTCCTAAAACGGCCAGAGAAACACAAATTTTTACGACCCATCGTAATAGAAATTTACCTACGGATACAGGCCGGACAATATAGTATCGCTAATTATTATGGAATTACACAAAATTGTATTACAAATTAAATGTTTGTGTGAAATTTCACATTCAGGGGTAATTACCGCTAATTTTTTATACCTTGCAAAATGTGGTCTTCCAGTTCGACCAAAAGAGAAAATTTCCAATGACGGAAGATTGGCATCGGATCAAGTCATTTACAATTGGGTTTCCAAGGCAAGAAACAAAGCCATTCCAATATCTGGGTCGTTGCTTAAACAAAAAGCACCAGATGCAGCAGGCAGTTTAAAGATGAAAAATTTCACGGATGGTCGTAAAGTTTCTGCCAGCGACAGAATATAACTTTTAAAACTGTTTGTGGTAAGCCCGCGTAGATTAATTTCCACGCCACACATTAAGTTTAACAGTTCAATATAAGTATTTTTTTTTTAATTTACTGACACCACAATAATTTTTTTCTACTCCTTTCTGTAATATACCTAATTATACACCGACCTAGCATGCGGGAAACGTCACATTACCAGGTGAATTTCTTGTCCCACATATCCCAACCACTTCGGACTTTTTCGAGATATTACAGCACGGCTTGAATTTTGACGTTTGTCAATTCTGACAGTTATGTCAGTGAATGTATTAGTGCTTTTCGACCAAAATCTACCCAAAAACGAACGGTCGTAGAAAAAGTATAGTATGCAACACGTTTAGCACACTTGCTGCATAATATACTATATTACTTTCTACTCCCTTGTATAAAATACCTAATTATACACCAATATAGCATGCGGGAAGCGTCACAACGTAAGTTTCTTGTCCCACGGATCCGAGTCACTTCGGACATTTCTGGAACATTACCGCATGGGTTTGGGACCAATCGGATGTTTCCGTAAATTTTACCGCACGGCTTGCACGTCAATTCTGACGGTCATGTCAGCGAATGTATGTAACGGTAGCAGAACAAGTGTAGTATGCAACACGTTTGGTAAACATTTTAAGTCACTCGTTTATTAAACAGAAATGCCGTTTACCGTAGTTCTAGTATAATATACTATTATGAAGTTATTTACTCAGTTGACAGGTAAAAATTTGACAATGTCACTTTGTTATAGCAATAGTCTTACACAGAAAGACGGATAAGTATAGGAATAGTTAAAATAAATAGCAAAGTATTAAAAATATATATATATATATATATATATATATATATATATATATATATATATATATATATATATAGGTCGTATGTATAAGACCTTTGATATAATGTTATATAAGAAAAAAAAAAAATTTTTTAATTTAAAATGATCAAATATATTCGTTTATTTTGAACACCCTGTGGCATATAATTCAAATTTCGTTGCATATAGCTTTTACTTAATATCAAATCTGAAAAGGTAGTATTTTTTTA